TTCGGGTGATTCCAGAGGCATTGGAAAGATACTTAAGTCTAGTTGTTCCCATAAAAATTTCATAATTTTTGGTTGTGAAGATTTTAATTGGCATTAAGATAAAGGCAGACTGCTCCAAAAAACAGATTCCGAGAGAACAAGATGTAACAAACCCAACTATTTATTTATTGACCCGATCTTTAATATTCTTAACTATAAAACTTGCGGGCATGCCCACAAAGTTCCAGCACTCATTACAAAGATCCAACTCACACATAAACACAATAACAAATCAACTAAACACACCAATGTCCACACCGCACTAATAGACTCGACTAGACTCAACTTAACTCGTTCTACTATCGTATTATTACATAAATAGGGACTCCAATATCTATGGGAAATACTCATGGGGTAGCTTCCCATACATCTTTGGCAAGTTGAGGCACACCCTTTGTTCGTCTATCACCTGTCGGTGCCTCTTGATAGTTTTCTACTGTGCCTTTCGGCGAATCTTAGCCACGGACTCATAGCCGAAGTGTACCATCGCCTGGGTTGTTGGATCCGTGCCCTGTGGGTCCATCACCGCCCATTCCAATTCTGGGTGTTGGTGAGGGAGGAATCGATATTGGTCATTCTTCATGTCCTCGAATCGGCGTCCACGGAGGCCTATGCAAGCTTCAGCGGCTGCATCTTCTATGTCGTCCTCCATGGTAGCACGGTGACCATGGTGCGCATAGTTTGAATCCAGCTGATATGCGCCTTTCTGTTCATCCTTGATTGTGATGCACACCCTGGTCTTCCAATAGGTGTCTTCAAGAGGGCGTGTATGTTCCTCGTAGACGTATTCTACAGCTGCATCCCAGTCGTTGTAGTAGGTCTGAAGCATGCTCATGAGTCGGTGATGTGAAATGGAGGATTCACATCCTGGCTTATACCACACCTTTGTTGTCCACCCCAGGGGCAGGATCGGCTCATCTTCTTCAATAACGTCATCCTCGTCATCATCGGACAAGTGGACGACCTCGACTTCTTGGGGTTCCTCCTAGACTGGCTCAGGTGTAGGTGCTGGCAGATCAAATTCTTGTTCTTGGGGTTCTTCCTCCTCAGGCTCCATGGACAAACCTTGAGGCGGGTAGTACCCTCGAGTGCTGATGCGGGCAGTCTTGTGGGCACAAGGCATCTATAGAATTAGATTTAGTTAGGTTAGATTAGAAGCAATAAATTTCATAATAGAATAAGGCAAAAGGAGCATAAAACTTTAGCAAATAACAAGGGTGAGATAGAAAGCATGAAATGAGTGAAGCAAAAGAAGCTAAAACAACCATTGCTAACTAGGCTTGCGTCCTACAGTCAACACTGCTCTGATACCAATCTGTCACACCCAATTTTAAGGATAAAATGGAGTGCAAAATCTTATGTGCGCCCAGAGATCAGTCACACACATAAGCCGACAAATTATGAATAGTATCATCACAAATGTTTATTACATCACGAATAAGACTGAGTTATCACATAAATATAGCGGAAATAATAAAAGATCTCTTGCGGAAGCTCCATTTCACAGGGACGTCGACTGGTTGACAAGTCTAGTAATCCTCAGAAAAATCATCATACCCAAAGCCATCTGTTACCCATCCGTGATTTTTATCCAAGTAATGAAAATAAACAAGCGTAAGTACATGCCATACTCAACAAGTGTAACACGGGGTTCATGAAGCTCAAAAGGCTTGACACAGGTTTAACAGCGTTTAGCTTTTAGTTGTCACAATTTTAGCTTAAGAGTAGCAACAAGTTGTTTAAATTCCCAATGCAAAACACATGATCAAATGTAAACATGATTAATGAATAGCATAAACAAATAATACTTAGTGTTCATCTATTCCATAAGGGTTCCAAGGCCGCTCGTGACCATGAGCACGGCTGATATATCAGTTTTACACTCTGCACATGTTGTACACTTTCACTGTGAGTCATTATACCCTTATGCCCGGGTTAATTACTCCCAAAACACTTCTAAGGTGAGCAGGCAGGGGTCACTATGAAGCCTTTTAAAGGTTTGTCTAACAAGTTAGGGCCATTAGATTCACTCGGCAAACAGTTAAAGGAACCCCCTGTCAAATGGCATAATTCCTTCACGGCTATACATATAAGAGTAGAGGCTGTCCTATACCCGATTCGTCAAGCCATTCTTACGCCAATAAAAATAACCACTAACAAGCTAGAAAAGGTCCTCATACTGAGCTAAAGCTAGAGCCATGTAGCCCTCACAGCTGTACTGTAAGTCTCGGATGATCACTTACAGATAAGTCCTTAGGAAGAGGAATCTAAAACATTTAGAAAGTAGCTAAATACTCCAGCCCCCTGTTTCTATGTTGCTAAAAAGTCATATTTTAATGTTTATTACATGTACCATTAGTCAAGTTAAAAGATTATGGTTTAATTGAGCACTAGCAAAGCTACCCAAATGCATAACCCATAGGTAACAAGGTAAAAGTTCAATTACTAGGAATTCCCTATCAAGGTGACATATGCAACATGAATTTAATGAATTAAAGTGAATAGGAAACAATGATGATGCCATGCTATACTTGCCTTGAGCAAAATACTCATGGTGGTCCTGCTCGTCAAAGTCATACCCTTTATCTCCCACGAACTGCTCACCGTCTATACTCGATAACCACAACAACATACAAGCATTCAGGAGCAATCATGCAAAGCAAACAAAGCTATAGATTAGAACAGTACACCAACAGCAAAGAATCAAGATGAAAAGTTTGGAAAACGAATCTACGTCTCGCTACGAACACACAGACGCGAAAATCACAAAAATCGGATCTAAAACGGAAAAGTTATGAGTTAAACAAGTTTTCCTATAGCAAAATAATAGATTAAATCTAACCTCGAATTTTAAAAGTTGAAAACATACTTTACAGTAGCATGAACATGTAGATTACTTAATTATGAACCTAACGCAACTTGAACGGATCAAATCGAAGTTAAAACGGAGATTTTATGGCTAAAACAAGTTAAATGGCAAAACTGTGAATAACTGAAAATGTATTTCAATAAAACTGAACCAAAATACGCTTTTAAAAAAGGGAAAACAAAATCTGTAAACGCGCTTTGGACTGCGGGTTAAGTCGAAAATAATTGTAAGGGCGTATTTGCAAAATTCCGATCGAAGGGGTATCTCCGATTTTGGGCCATTGGATTAGATCTGAACGGCCTAGATTCGATCTAGCGGGAAAAGAGAAAAATCCAGCCGGAACAGTGACGGCGGCAGTGCTCCCGATGGTGGCGCCATTGCCGGCTTCTGGAGCATGCGGTTCTCGCTCCACAGCGCACGGTTCAACGAAAAAAACTCCAGGACAGAGAGAGAGGAAAGGATGGGGATCTCACCCGAACCGGAATAGGCGAGCGGGAAGCAGCGACTACGGCGCAGCGCTCGGTGGTCGACGATGGTTGCGGCGGTGCAAGGGCGAAGCGCAGCTGCAGCTTGCTGGGACGAAGGAAACTCGCGGCATATGGGATAGGGAGGCGGCGTAGGCGGCTATTTATGGGGCAGGGTCCCTTGGGCGGCACGGCATCAAGGGGAGCCGTGGCAGCACCGGACACGGCGTCGGCGCGAGGTGGTGTCCGGCTCTGTTACGACGCGAGGAAGGAGAAGGTGCCGACAGGTGGGCCAGCGCTGTCAGCCGACGGAAAGGAAAAGAAGCGCGGTCAGCGGGCGTGCGGCTGGGCCTGCTGTGGTGCGGCGCGGGGGAAAAAGTGGGGGCGGCACTGGGCTTCGGCCCGAGCTGAAGGCATGGAAGAGCAGCGGCCCGGGAAGAAGAAAGGGGAGGGAGCTGGGTCAGTGAGGAGCAAGGCCGACTTGATGGATGCGGCCCGAGCAGGGAAAAAAACAAATGACCAGCTGGGCCGAAAGGAGAAATGAGCATGGACAATCCAGTTTCCAATTTTTGCAAAACAAATTTCAAAATCACCTTCGAATACAAATTCAATCTTGGAATCTGATTTCAAATCAAGCAATACAAAAACATGCAACAGCATGAATGCACACTCATTGTTGTTGACCTATATTTGTTTTTAATTTGATAAACTTTATTATTTTTCCTAAATTTAAATGTTCACAAAAATACATAATAAATTAGTTTCCCCTATTTTAAAATATTGTAAATTTTAGGGCGTTACATCCTGGTTCCGGTTCCAGTTGCCGTTTTTTTTTTGAATAGGATCCAGTTGCCGGTTCAGCAGATCGAGGAAACTGAAGATGAAAGCGAGCTGATATCTCCCAGCAACGACTGTCAATTCTTGCTTGGACATCTTGATTCTTGACCAATAAAGTTTTGGCATGACGAGCGTACCTTTGTCTAAAGGAAAGGCCATGATAATAGTAGTCTGTTTAAACACCGTTAAGACAATTTAAACGGCTGTTCAGCCCGCTTAATTGTTTTGCATCTTTATTATTTTTCCCCAGACGAGACATTCCAGGATGAGAAAGGGTATTTTGTTAGGTGACCATCGCATCCACCAATCTCGCTTCAGTATTTGCTAGTAGCATTTGTTAATTTTGGGCTTACCGCATTAGAACTGCCTTTTCTGTGCATTATTTATGCAAACAAGTGGGCTGTTTTTTCTGTCTGAAAGAGCAAACACCACAGTCAACCTTACATGCTGACAACAGCGTACCGTTGATAGTGACATGGGTTCCGGATCCGGACATCCGGTTCCAGTTCCAGTGCTAGTTCCGGATCCTTTTTAAAGATTGTGGAACACGCGTGCACTTGGCGGTCAATGTAGCAGGCATCCATCCATCCAGCATCCATGATCCATCTTTATATACGCAGGCAGAGGCAAACCCCAGACGCCATGTTCGTCGACAGAAGCTCAATATCGAACCTCTCTGTCATTCCACCAAGCGAGCCATTTCTCTCTCGCACAAACTTGACACTAGCAAGACAGATGGACGTCGAAGCCGTGGTCATGAGGGTCGTGAGCTCGACCTCCGCAGCAGCCCGATGGTGCCGTCGGCGATGTTCTCCGCCGGCGTCTTCGAGGCGGTGGTGGCGCTCGCGTTCCTGGTCGTCAACACTCCCGAAGGTATTTTCTCCTTCCACCACGGCAAGGCGCTCGTCGTCGTGTACTACTGCATCCTTACGGCAGGGGCCATCGTCGGCTCTGCGACGGCCTCTGCTTCTTTCTGGGTCGCACGCGATCTCGAAGGCCGGCATGCCACTGGCATGGCGCTCCTCTGCGCGTGCACCCTCACTCTCATCCCTGTCATTGGGCTTCTCGTTAGCTTCTTGATGCTCAAAAAATAGCTTCAGACATGTACTTGTACACTTCTACGTATGATTGTACAAAAAATTAGCTGTGTTCGTTTTGAATGGTGATATTTGAAGGTGTTCTGCCCATTTGCAGTGTCATCTGTACGTAAGAGAAACGGTTGAGCTCTGTCAATTTTCTGTCCGAAGAAAGAGTAATTTGTGTTGTGTGCTGTAATGATCTGTATTTGTACAGGATAATGAGATTCTGGTGGCTCTAAGGTGTACGCACAAATGCTGCACTCTGTTATACGTCAGCTAGAAATGCCATTTGGTGTATCTTGGATCGTCTTTAACTTGCTGTTTGCATCTGAATTAACATTAGTCTGAACAGAGCAACAAGGCTTTGTGATGAAGACAACCGGACGTGCTCCGGCTCCAGTTCCGGTTCCAGCTCCGGTGGGCTGCTGTCCCGCTCCCCCGCTGCCCGCACCTCGCCCGCCGCGCTCCTGCTATCGCGTCACCACCACCGCCACTAGCCTTAGGCCCGGAAGATGTCTCTTCGGTTTTCGCACGCGTCAGCCCAACCAGATCGGTGCTCCGGACTTCGATCGGTGAGTCAGGTTTCGCGTCGCCTGCTCGATTCTGGTGCGAACGATGTCATGTGGTGGGTGCTGGTTCTGTGCAGCTGGTGCAGTTGCGGAGGTGGATTAAGCGCCGGGGAAGGGCGTGCTGCAAAATCCCCTCCTATTTGTGAAAGTACATTGAGATATCAGGGATTGATTCAGGACTTTTGACGGTGTTTTCTGTCCAACTACTCGCAGTTCTATCATTTGAATAGTGATTGGTTAAAGAAATTTCATGTTAGGATATATACTGATTTGGCTCTAGGTCATGTTTGGGTCTGTAATTGGCAGAGTCGCCTCTTCCTGGTAGCGAGCATGAGCTTGCACAACTGATCTGCTCTCACATTGCCAATCGGCTATAATGTTTCTGCTATCAGCTCGTATACAACTGATCTGCTCTCACTTAGCTAATCATCAGCATTAGGATGCTCATTTGTTTTATGGACCCGAATTCCATAGGCTACAAGGGTTGTCAATCTGAACCTAGTCTAGCTCCGGCACTGTCCTAGCTTTGTTTGCTAAAAAGAAAACTATTTACCTGGCATTACCGCTATTATCAAGGTTAACGTAATAGTTGATCATGTACCACACATGCCTACATTTCTTTAAACAGAACCATAAATGTTCTTTTACTTCGATTTTGTTTCCAAGATGATAATAAAACAGGGGACACCCTTTTCAACAGTGCTTTGCCCTAATCATAATGAATCTTAGGGATATAATTATTCTGCAAGGCAAAAGTTCATATTTTTGATGGACCAAGCAAATGACCCCACGGAGTGATGGAGGTATGACTCCTTTTTCTAACATTTTCTCCTTGCCTGGTCTGCTTTTACCTATTCTCTTTTGTCAAGGGCGGTGGTGCGCAAGACAGCAGGTCCCCGACTCCGGAGTTCGTAGGTAGATTGGGTACTGGCGCTGGGATTCTTCCCTAGACGCCCTATGGTGAAGGGGGTGAGATTAAGAGCAGCAAAGGTAGATTAGGAGATAACTTGTTTCTTGATTGATTCATCATAAGCTGATTACAGAATATATAGAGCAGCCCCAGCTCCTGGGCGCCCAACTCTGGTCTCTTCGTTTCTCTCCCCATTAAACATTCTCTCATTACTCTAATCCCTTCCCCATAAACCTTAGTTGCTGCGGACTACAACTGGTACCTCCTTGGATGCCGCTCTGGCCCTTCTGGCCACATCTCGAACCCTGGGACGCCTTTCATAATGGCGCCCCACATCACATCTCTCCCTCCCTCGACGAACAGCTCGTCCTCAAGCTGGAAGCTTGGATAGCGGTCGATGAAGCTTTCGAGGTCTTCCTAGGTGGCCGATGTTGCGGGCTCGCCTTGCCAATGTACCAGCACCTGCCGCACGCCCCTGGCCAAACGAGTGCGGGTGGCGCGCTTTGGAATCGGCTACGTCGCGCCGTGGTGTTTGGGGGGCAGCGCTGGCAGTGTTGCTGGTGGCGTCCCCACAAACTTCTTCAGCAGCCCGACGTGGAACACATCGTGCAGCCGGGCACGAGGTGGAAGCTCGAGGCGGTAGGCGACGTCGTTGATGATGGCTGTGACGCGATATGGCCAGTAGAAGCGGGGCCGAAGCTTCCCCTTGGTGACCACGTGCAGGGACGCTGGGGCGCGGTGGCGGAGGCGCAGCCAGACCCAGTCCCCCACAGTGTAGCGGACATCGCGGTGGTGCTTGTCGTAGAAGCGCTTGTAGACCGTCTGAGCTTGCTCCAGGAGGGCGCGTGCTTCCGAGAGGAGCTCATCACGTTCAGCCATGCTTTTGGCCACTGCAGCCACCCGTGTCTCGCCTGGCTCATAGGAGCGGATGGAGGGGGGTTCGCGGCCATAGACCACCCGGAATGGTGTGTCCTTGAGCGCAGACTGGAACGCCGTGTTGTAGATGTATTTAGCCCAGGGCAGCCAGCGCAGCCATTGGTGAGGGCAATCCCCAGTGAGGCAGCGGTTGTACATGACGATGACTTTGTTGGCAGCCTCCGTCTGGCTGTCATACTAGGGATGAAAAGTTGTCGTCATGTGCAGCTTAGTTCTAGTGAGCCGCATCAACTCCTTCCAGAAGATGGAAGTGAACACCGGATCTCTGTCCGAGACAATGGACTAAGGGACCCCATGGAGGTGGACGATGTCGGTGAAGAAGACATGTGCCACTGATTCCGCCGAGTAGGGGTGAGCCAGCGGAATGAAGTGACAGTACTTACTGAAACGATCAACGACCGTGAGGATGACTAATTTGCCGCCTACGTGGGGCAACGCTTCGATGAAGTCCATTCCGATGTCGCCCTAGACCGTGGTTGGGACGGGCAGCGGAAGAAGTAGGCCCACTAGATGTAGGTGTTCAGACTTGTAGCGCTGGCAGGTCACTCAAGCCTTGATGCAGTCCTGAACCACCTTGCGAAGGTTGGGGTTGTGGAAATCGCGATGCAGCCGGTGAAGGGTGCGCTGGACGCCTTCATGGCTGTCGTCGTGCACTGCAGTGAGGAGTTCCTGGAGGAGAGGGGCGTCGGGCGGGATGTAGAGGCGCCCCTAGAATGTCACCAGTCCATCAGCAAGGGTCCAAGGAGCCACGCGCTGATTGGAGACGATTCCATCCTTAATTGCAACCAGCGCGGGGTCCTGGTCAGTGGCTTGGCGGAGGCGGTCGATGAAGTCAAACTGAGGTCCGGAGATGACGAGGACCATTGTTTCCTTGGTGTCGCGGTGAGACAGCGCATCTGCCATCATGTTGGTGCTGCCCACCTCGTACTCAATCGAGAAATCGAAGCCCAACAGCTTGCGCACCCAATGGTGTTGGGGAATGGTAGGCAAGCGCTGCTCCAATAGGAATTTAAGACTGTAGTGGTCAGTCCTTACTAGAAAACATCGCCCCCATAAGGATGGCCGCCAATGTCAGATGGCGAGGACAAGGCCGATGAGTTTCCGTTCATATGCCGCCAATGACTGATGGCATGGTGCCACCAGGCGGCTGAAGAAAGCCATCAGGTGCTGGCCTTGGAGAAGGACGATGCCAAACCCATAGGTGGAGGCATCGCACTCCACGACAAAGGGTTGCTCGAAGTTGGGGAGGGCCAGCACGGGCGCTATGGTGACTGCCTTCTTGAGGGAGGAGAATGCCTAGCTAGCTGCCTCTGTCCAGGTGAACCCCTCTTTTTTGAGCAGGGTTGTCAGCGGTGCTGCTATAGTGCCAAACTCTTTGACGAACTTGCGGTAATAGCCTGCCAAGCCTAGGAAACCGTGAACTGCTAATCGCGGGGTAGGATAATCTGCTACCGCCTGAACCTTGTCAGGGTCCATGGCCACCCCAACAGCGAAGATGATATGCCCCAGGTAGGAGATGGAGTCGACGCCGAAAGTGCACTTGTAGCGCTTGACGAAGGGCGATGTTGGTGAAGCACGGAGAGGACAGCGCGGACGTGGCGTAGGTGGTCCGCCAGCGAGCTACTGTAGATCAGAATATTGTCGAAGAAGACGAGGACAAAGCGGCGCAAGAAGGGGCGCAGCACATCGTTCATCAGCGCCTGAAATGTGGCCGGGGCATTGCACAACCCAAATGGCATCACGAGGAACTCATAGAGGCAATCGTGAGTCCGGAACACCGTCTTCTCCACATCATTGGGGTTCATGCGGACTTGATGGTAGTCGGAACGCAGGTCGAGCTTGGTGAAGTAGAGAGCACCATGCAAGTCATCTAGGAGTTCATCCACCATTGGAATTGGATAAGCATCTTTGACGGTGATGGTGTTGAGGGTTCTGTAGTCGATGCAGAACTGCCACGTACCGTCCGCCTTCTTGACCAGCAACACAGGGGATGAGAATGCCGAGTTGCTGCGCTGGATCAGCCCCTGTGCCAGCATGGTGGAGTACTGGCGCTCGAGTTCATCCTTGTGGGAGGCGGGGTAGCGGTAGGGGCAGACAGCCACCGGCGAGGACCCTAGGACATGGTTGATGCAGTGGTCCCAGGATCATGGTGGCGGCATGCCGGTGGGCTCAGCGAAGACGGAGCTGAACTCATCCAGCAAGGTCGGAAGAAGGTCGGCGTTGCTGCATGCCCGCAGAGAGGGGCTGATTGGCCCGACGACGCCTTGCCAGCAGACATGATCCCAGTGCCAGAACAACATGGTGAGCACTCTGAAATCCTAAAGGATTGGCCCGAGGGAGGCCAACTAGTGGGTGCCAAGGACAACGTCATAGCCGACTAGCGGCAGGGCAAAGAAGACGGTGGAGAAGGTCTCATCGTTAATGGAGATGGCCGCTGTGCGGTACATGCCGGGGCATGGCACGCGCTCCCCGTTGGCCACCATCACCTTCATGTTGCCACAAGGGAGGAGCTGAAGCGAAGTGCGTGCTGCGACTTCTTCGAAGACGAAATTGTGTGTCAAGCCGAAGTCAATGAGCGAGAGGAGGGAGGCACCGCTGAA